CTTCCAGATGTTGTCTTATAAACTTAAAGGAGCTTTGAAGTTTAAAAGCAGCCACGACGACGATGATGACAACCACAAACAACAGCTTATCCGCTTTGTAGTGGTGGTGGAGTCAGGTGGACAACCACAAAATGGACTATACACAATAAAGTTAAGTGATTAGGGTTAGGAAACTGAGTGAACCAGGTTCCATTTGATCCTGTCCTGAAACTTGGTTCACGCAGTTTCCTAGTTAAACCTAATCACTAAACTTCAGCGGCGTAGTCCATTTTAGGGTAGTCCATAAGGGTAGTCCATGGATTGGGGGGGGTCAGTGTTTTGTCCTCCGATCCACCATTTGGAGTACATTTATTTGACGTCCACAGAACGACTATGACGTGAAACCTCCTAATGCGACGTTTCTTGAAGGATGTAACCATAAGACGACGAATTTTCTATTCCCTTTTTAAAGCTGGATAAAGTCCTTAAGAACTCAACCCCCCAAATCGCCTGCATTGAAAAATAAAGCGGCGACGTTTTCGCTACCGTCGTCATCGTCGTTGTTTAAGCTCTCAATTGGCTTTAAATTGCATTAAAAATCTTTCTTTGGTGCAATTTGTAAAGTGTGTCAAAACAAATGGGCCTTTTTGACCCAGAAATACATAACTACAGAGACAGAACGCTCAGATGTAGCTTGTTCAAAGCTCCAGATCGTGAAAACTGGTGCGAAAAACGCGCGGGGGTTGAGGAAAGAGAAAGCGCCACCCCGTTCTCCTGGTTACGCGCGTCTTCATTTTCCTTGCTGTTTTTTTTTTTTTTTGCCACCTCCCTACTATCCGAAAGCCTGGCACAGACTAGCTCAGAGCTACTGTAACAGAACAGTAAAGTGTAAACGAGCAAAGAAGAGAAGCTGCATTACATGGGTCGAGGGTGGAGGGTGGCGGTAGAGAACGGACTTTTCACTCGAGCCAGAAAAATGGAAACCATATCCGTACTAGCCTCCCACGCGGGCGTTTTTAGGGGAGCTCGTTCTGAGGGATGAAAAACGAGCTCCCCTAAAAAGGCCTGCCTGGGAGGCTATATCCGTACCGGAAAAAGTACCAGTGTGAAAACTGCGGTGGTCTTTACACCACGTGGACGGTTTGTGCATTACGAAGGCATAACAAGTATCATCATTTACTATACCTTATGAATTTCTTGGTATGTGTCGTATAAGACATGAGTAGGCTATTAATCAGTGGCAGCTACATACCGTGATAATTGGCAGATTTGATTCGGCTCGCATGCCCCAAAAACACTGCGCATGCCTTGATCCTCCTTGTTCAAAGATGGATAGCGCTATCCATCAGATAAGCATTAGGGAAACCAGTTGCGCTATCCAGGGGATAGTGATTTATCCGGTGGATATCGCTATTCACCTTTTGAACAACTGGCGCCTGGTGGTGTTCAGCATCAAATTTCTCCTGGTAATAACAAAGATTCGTCTACCAACGATGGTCACTAATGACATAAACACATGAATTAACATCTTACCGACACAAACGGGATGCCTTGGATCCTGTGCACCAGAATCAGCGACAAATCCGATTGGACATTCACATCGGTACGAGCCAGCGATGTTCTTACAAACATGATTGTCTCCACAAGCATCTAGGGACTGGCATTCATCAAAATCTACGACAGTTACAAAGAAAATTCTTTAATATTGTTTATCAATCGATCAAGTGAAGGTGGTTTAATAGCGGAGCACCATGGGTAAGAAAATTTGGTAAACTATCCATCCGAGAAAATTTGGTTATGACGTAGCGTACGCCCGCCCGTCCGTACACACACTTCATGTAAGCCGATGTCAAATGTCACAATAGATCTTGCACAACTTGACTAGCCTCTTAGTTATGTAAGCCATCCGTATGAGTACGATTAGACTGACAACTGTCAAAATCAGACATCCGCTGACAATTATCACATGACCGTCTCGCGGGCTCAGATAAAAGACCAGTCGTTTTGCCCCTATATATAAGCTGATATAATATGTCACACTTACCAATTCAACATATAAACGAAACTACGCCGCGCAAGGCTGTCAGTTGGGTGACAGTCGTTTAAGGTTACATTGGCAAGCCAAATTAAGGTCAATTGACAGCTTTCAAAATGGGACATGTGCAGACCACTATCAGAAAACTAATATCGAGGGCTCGGGTTCGCTCAGGTACACGATCTGCCATTTTCCACTACATGCCGGACGGAAATGTCCTACTCACACTCGCAGTCTGTTAATTCGAATATTCGTCATTCTAATGAAGGTTAATTGACAGCTGTCAAACTAGAGTATACGCTGACCATCATCACCTGAGTGGATCGCGGGCTCATTTTTCTATCCATTGAGGTCACGTAGTGTTTAAAGTTTTGCGCTGATATTTTATTTGATCACGGGCTCAATTCGAAGCCCCATAGCTTTATAGAAAATCTATCCATCCTAGAAAATTCGGCAATCACGTGACTGTACACCGACAACCCGACCTTCCGTCCGTCCGCACCACAGGCATACCAATGTTTAATCTCACACTTTCTTGCTAGTTTGGGAGCCTGCAACCTGATATTGTACATCCATGTTTTGATTAATTGACAGTTGTCAAAACAGTGTTTCTGCTGACCAGTATCGCCTGACGGTATCGCGGGCTCAGGTATCGAACCTCTGAGTTCGAGTAATATTTTGAAGGTATCCGCTGACAAGTTGCTACTTTTCAAATGATCGCAGGCTCAAGTTCAATTTTTTTAAAATGCATATGAAATATGTCGTGTTTCATGAGCCGCACTTTTAAAATGTTGATTTCGAACTGATCTCGGACACGAAAATTCAACCGGATTTTACATTTACATGCAGGGAAGGCAATCGCTTTTGACTTTTCTCACTGTCACGCGTTAATCACGCTCTACGTCCAATTTTTATGTTCTGATTGGTCAAAATTTGACAGGTGAGTTTATGCGGAAAATTTATGCAGCGTCTGGAAACTTGCTCACTGATAGCTGGAGCTGAGAGAGTTTTGTGTCATCGTGTGATGTTTTAAACTGTCTTTTTCTACTTGGTGTACAAAGTGAAATACAACTGCTATCAAGATTGTTCTGTAATTCGTGGCTGGTTTGTTTGTTGCGCTTTTTGTTGACAAATGCACCGCTTGTCAAAGTCATTGGAAATCCGATTTCGGATGGCATCGTTTTCAAAAATGAGCTTACTCACTTGCCCTTGTTTGAGGCGTAAGAGGGTTGAAAAGTCTCAAGGGATTCTGGAACACTTGATGACCTTCAAAAGCAGCATCTCGACTGGTAAGCCTGAGCCATTATTGTTTTTGATGTTTTTTTTTTTTGCGGTTTCCTGAAGTCGAGCGTATGGTTTATGCGGCTTAAGTTAAAACACGAGCAATGATCTAACCTACAACAGTATCAGGTTTAGAAAGCCTTTAGACATGTTTTCACCCGCAAATTCAAAGAAAAGGTGCCGAAGATAATTTAGTTATGATTTTGGCTGTAAACAGAAAGCTCTGAGCCTCGAGTTCATCGTGAAAAAGAGCGAACACCGGGAAGCCGGCTTAAAACATAAATAAGCTTATGCTTGCCTGACTCATGATTTTCTGAGACACTTTACTCTCAATACTTCTCTTCGTGAATGAAAATTATTGTCTCTGTACATGTTTCACCGAATTAAACTTATTTTATTGATTGCCAGTAGTCCTGCTCGCAATTTTCATCGCTGCACCGGTTGTTTCTAGTCGAACATAAACATCGCATGCAGGAATACTCAAAACGCCGCGCGTAAATATCACTCGCTTTTAAAGATTACACATAACAAAATAATACACAGTTTAATGAATATAGGGAAATAAAACCTAAACATAACAATTTCTCTATCATGTTGAAGCGTAAATGGTAACTCTATTAATCGCACTGCAAATTTGGTGCCTGTGAAAAGTGAGAACCCGTCCGCCGGGCTGGCCGAAAAGTGATTTTGGGAATTTTTTTTATCGTTTTCATTAAAAGCTCATAATTATTACCCTGCATATCACATAGGACCAGATTTTTCTAACAGAAAACGTTTTATAATTCAATGCTATAATTTGTTGTGCAAAGGAAGCGCGTGCTTTGATCGTCGTGGATATTGAATGAGTGCAAATTCTCTTGCAAAATTGTGAAAAACTGCAGAATTATAGGTTTAAATAGGGCAGAAAAGAACAAATTCTGTCCGAGGTCTGTGTACTGTTTACCTGAGACGTGATGAGAAAAAGTATGTTTAAAAGGCTGGTTTACACGCCACCAGATTCGTCGCCAAGATTTACTCGTAAACTAAACTTGTCGAACACAAAAAATCCGGCCTGATTTTTATTTTGGCCTCTCTTTTAGACAGAGGAATGCAACGTGTAAATTGGCTGCCACCCAGGACTATCGTGGCGCATCTGTTTCTTAAAATTATATTTCGGGGTTGTCCAATTATCCATAGTCTCTCTAACGGAGCAATGTTGGAGAGACTGGTGAATGCCACATTATGATGCTACAGCTAATGCAAATACAATACACGAATAGGTCTATTTGTTTTCCAGGCCTAATCTACTGTGATCGAACATCATTGCCATGTTTCGGTGTACAAATAACTTGATGTAAAATTTGTTTCACTCTTGGACGGTCAAATTCTGATTTTTCTCTAAAATCACTCAGCCTTTGCCTCAAAAGTCAAATGAATGTGCCCTGATCTGTGGATTACAAGTTTATTGTTTGATTTAACTTATAAATTTATTAACGGGAGCTTCGCTTTTAGCCCTGGCTAAATCTATATATTAAATACTGCGCATGCCTTGATCATCATTAACCCCCGGGCCCCGATTGTTCAAAAGATGGTTAGCGCTACCCATCGAATAAATCGCCATTCATCGGATAAGTATTAGGGAAACCAATGGCGCTATCCAGGGGATAGTGATTTATCCGGTAGATACCGCTATTCACGTTTTGAACAACTGGCGCCTGATGGTGATCAGCATCAAATTTTCCCTGGTAATAACAAAGATTCATCTACCAAAGATGGTCACTAAAAACTTAATGACATGAACATATGAATTAAGCTCTTACCGACACAAACGGTATGCCGTGGATCCTGTGCACCAGAATCAGCAACAAATCCGATTGGACATTCACATCGGTACGAGCCAACGGTGTTATTACAAACATGATTGTCTCCACAAGCATCTGGGGACTGGCATTCATCAAAATCTAAGACAGTTACGTAGAAAATTCTTCAGTATTGTTTATCAGTCCCTCAAGGTGGTTTAATAAATACTGCGCATGCCTTGATCCTCAATAACCCCCTGGCCCCGGTTGTCGAAAAGATGGATACCGTTATCCATCTGAAAAATCACTATCCCTCGGATAAGTGTTAGGGAAACCAATTGCGCTATCCAGTGGATAGTGATTTATCCGGTGGATAGCGCTATTCATCTTTTGATCAACTGGCGCCTGATGGTGATCAGCATCAAATTTCTCCCGGTAATAACAAAGATTCGTCTACCAAAGATGGTCACTAAAACTAATGACGTGAACACATGAATTAACATCTTACCGACACAAACAGGATGCCTTGGATCCTGTGCACCAGAATCAGCGACAAATCCGATTGGACATTCACATCGGTACGAGCCAACAGTGTTATTACAAACATGATTGTCTCCACAAGCATCTAGGGACTGGCATTCATCAAAATCTACGACAGTTACAAAGAAAATTGTTCAATACTATTTATCAGTCCCTCAAGGTGGTTTAATAAATACTGCGCATGCCTTGATCATCATTCACCCCCGCGGGCCCCGGTTGTTCAAACGATGGCTAGCGCTACCCATCGCATAAATCGCTATTCATCGCATTGCCAGAAATTAGGGACAAGATGGCGGTTGCGCGTGCGCACTAAGACCACAATGGCTGCGAATTCGCATAAGAAAATGTATGGAGATAAGGAAACTTTTTCAAATATATCGATTATGAGCTCACGGGTGTTCGGTGCACGACTCGAAACATGTTAAGTGCTGTGTAACCTTCGCATCTGGGTTAAAAATAGCTAATTAGAAGTAGGTTTACTTACTTCCCGAAGTGGCCACTTTTATCTCTCGTTGTACGCTCCATTTCTCCATACATTGTCTTAAAATCTTGCCGAAGTCATGCGAAATACTCGTCGATTAGAGGATAAACCCTTCACTGAAGTAAATTTGCACGACTCGATATTACTTCTGCGATGGAAGATGTTTCCAAAACAGTCGTTAAAAGGACGATTTTTGCACTGGAAAATACTTCCAAAAGGCGCGTTATTTCCCTCAGTTTTCCATCTGTAGTCCAGTAATGGACGCCATAGTTGCGAATGACTCATTTCGGTCGGACAAAGCTTCACAACTCCAAACCTCACCGAATCGCCATTTTGTTTTTTGCTAAAACTCGAGAGATGCTTCACGGGATATAACCTAGGTTCCAGGTATTCAAAAATCCTCGATTAGCCTACCAGGCTTGGTTTTAAAACAAAATTGTCACGAAAATGTCACGAAAATGTCACGAAAGGTACATCCGCGTACTGTTTTGTTGCTATCAGCCGCTCGGCCGAGTATAAACCTAACATTTTCTTGCTAGGTGTTTTATTCCAGCTTTTTTCCTCGTAAAACGGATCCACAGAGCTCAAATTATTTTAAAAAATCGCAGGGGATACTCTTTCCCTGACTACGATCGTTTTTGTCCGCCATTTGGAAATGAGATTCCGCTGACAATTAATCACGGGCGCGAAATGTCCACGATTTCTGGCAATGGGATAAGTATTAGGGAAATCAATGGCGCTACCCGGTGGATAGCGCTATTCACGTTTTGAACAACTGGCGCCTGATGGTGATCAGCATCAAATTTTCTCTGGTAATAACAAAGATTCATCTACCAAAGATGGTCACTAAAAACTTAATGACATGAACACATGACTTAACATCTTACCGACACAAACGGTATGCCGTGGATCCTGTGCACCAGAATCAGCAACAAATCCGATTGGACATTCACATCGGTACGAGCCAACGGTGTTATTACAAACATGATTGTCTCCACAAGCATCTGGGGACTGGCATTCATCAAAATCTAAGACAGTTACATAGAAAATTCTTCAGTATTGTTTATCAGTCCCTCAAGGTGGTTTAATAAATACTGCGCATGCCTTGATCCTCAATAACCCCCTGGCCCCGGTTGTCGAAAAGATGGATACCGTTATCCATCTGAAAAATCACTATCCCTCGGATAAGTGTTAGGGAAGCCAATTGCGCTATCCGGTGGATAGTGATTTATCCGGTGGATAGCGCTATTCGTCTTTTGATCAACTGGCGCCTGATGGTGATCAGCATCAAATTTCTCCTGGTAATAACAAAGATTCGTCTACCAAAGAAGGTCACTAAAACTGATGACGTGAACACATGAATTAACAACTTACCGACACAAACAGGATGCCTTGGATCCTGTGCACCAGAATCAGCGACAAATCCGATCGGACATTCACATCGGTACGAGCCAACAGTGTTATTACAAACATGATTGTCTCCACAAGCATCTAGGGACTGGCATTCATCAAAATCTACGACGGTTACAATGAAAATTCTTCAATACTGTTTATCAGTCCCTCAAGGTGGTTTAATAAATACTGCGCATTCCTTGATCATCATTAACCCCCGCGGGCCCCGGTTGTTCAAACGATGGCTAGCGCTACCCATCGAATAAATCGCTATTCTTCGGATAAGTATTAGGGAAACCAATGGCGCTACCCGGTGGATAGCGCTAATCACGTTTTGAACAACTGGCGCCTGATGGTGATCAGCATCAAATTTTCTCTGGTAATAACAAAGATTCACCTACGAAAGATGGTCACTAAAAACTTAATGACATGAACACATGAATTAATATCTTACCGACACAAACGGTATGCCGTGGATCCTGTGCACCAGAATCAGCAACAAATCCGATTGGACATTCACATCGGTACGAGCCAACGGTGTTATTACAAACATGATTGTCTCCACAAGCATCTGGGGACTGGCATTCATCAAAATCTAAGACAGTTACATAGAAAATTCTTCAGTATTGTTTATCAGTCCCTCAAGGTGGTTTAATAAATACTGCGCATGCCCTCATCCTCAATAGCCCCCTGGCCCCGGTTGTCGAAAAGATGGATACCGTTATCCATGGGAAAAATCACTATCCCTCGGATAAGTGTTAGGGAAACCAATTGCGCTATCCAGTGGATAGTGATTTATCCGGTGGATAGCGCTATTCATCTTTTGATCAACTGGCGCCTGATGGTGATCAGCATCAAATTTCTCCTGGTAATAACAAAGATTCGTCTACCAAAGATGGTCACTAAAACTAATGACGTGAACACATGAATTAACATCTTACCGACACAAACAGGATGCCTTGGATCCTGTGCACCAGAATCAGCGACAAATCCGATTGGACATTCACATCGGTACGAGCCAACAGTGTTATTACAAACATGATTGTCTCCACAAGCATCTGGGGACTGGCATTCATCAAAATCTAAGACAGTTAGGTAGAAAATTCTTCAGTATTGTTTATCAGTCCCTCAAGGTGGTTTAATAAATACTGCGCATGCCTTGATCCTCAATAACCCCCTGGCCCCGGTTGTCGAAAAGATGGATACCGTTATCCATCGGAAAAATCACTATCCCTCGGATAAGTGTTAGGAATACCAATTGCGCTATCCAGTGCATAGTGATTTATCCGGTGGATAGCGCTATTCATCTTTTGATCAACCGGCGCCTGATGGTGATCAGCATCAAATTTCTCCTGGTAATAACAAAGATTCGTCTACCAAAGATGGTTACTAAAACTAATGACGTGAACACATGAATTAACATGTTACCGACACAAACAGGATGCCTTGGATCCTGTGCACCAGAATCAGCGACAAATCCGATTGGACATTCACATCGGTACGAGCCAACAGTGTTATTACAAACATGATTGCCTCCACAAGCATCTAGGGACTGGCATTCATCAAAATCTACGACAGTTACGAAGAAAATTCTTCAATACTGTTTATCAGTCCCTCAAGGTGGTTTAATAAATACTGCGCATTCCTTGATCATCATTAACCCCCGCGGGCCCCGGTTGTTCAAACGATGGCTAGCGCTACCCATCGAATAAATCGCTATTCTTCGGATAAGTATTAGGGAAACCAATGGCGCTACCCGGTGGATAGCGCTAATCACGTTTTGAACAACTGGCGCCTGATGGTGATCAGCATCACATTTTCTCTGGTAATAACAAAGATTCACCTACGAAAGATGGTCACTAAAAACTTAATGACATAAACACATGAATTAATATCTTACCGACACAAACGGTATGCCGTGGATTCTGTGCACCAGAATCAGCAACAAATCCGATTGGACATTCACATCGGTACGAGCCAACGGTGTTATTACAAACATGATTGTCTCCACAAGCATCTGGGGACTGGCATTCATCAAAATCTAAGACAGTTACATAGAAAATTCTTCAGTATTGTTTATCAGTCCCTCAAGGTGGTTTAATAAATACTGCGCATGCCTTGATCATCATTAACCCCCACGGGCCCCGGTTGTTCAAACGATGGGTAGCGCTACCCATCGGATAAATCGCTATTCATCGGATAAGTATTAGGGAAACCAATGGCGCTACCTGGTGGATAGCGCTATTCACGTTTTGAACAACTGGCGGCTGATGGTGATCAGCATCAAATTTTCTCTGGTAATAACAAAGATTCATCTACCAAAGATGGTCACTAAAAACTTAATGACATGAACACATGAATTAACATCTTACCGACACAAACGGTATGCCGTGGATCCTGTGCACCGGAATCAGCAACAAATCCGATTGGACATTCACATCGGTACGAGCCAACAGTGTTATTACAAACATGATTGTCTCCACAAGCATCTGGGGACTGGCATTCATCAAAATC